GCTTAGTATTAGAATGGGCGCACTATGGAATGGAGGAAGTATCATTACCGACAGAGAAAAGAGAGACTGGGGTGGTCGGTCATATGAGGCCCCGAGGTATAGAACACCTGGCGTTCGATTCCGTGACCTGTTGGCTAAAAGTTCAATACCTCTAGCCACGAGCTCGTTGTCCTGTTGGTTGCGATCGGAAATGTACAATGGTAGAGGGAGACACCTGTGTCAGGCGACGCTATGGGGCGGCAGGTTAGGCTCGAGAGAGAGTCCTAAGGCACGACGGGACGAGCGAGTTCCTGCCTTTTTTTAATTTCAGAGAAAATTAATTCGCGAATTTGGAGAAGGTACTTACAGTGAGTGACCGATCTCATGAAATGTTGGCTGAAATTCTGAAATGTGTTTTCGATTTCGAAGAATTACTTAGGGGTGGTTGTAATACTGATGATCCCGCAACATAATCCTATAATAGTCCGGACTTGGCAGGATGTCAGCATTTGAGTACACTGCTTTTCAATCTCCTGCAGAAACCGTACTTGGTAAAAAATTGACCACTTAAGTGGCATGCATTTTTCCCATTGATTTTCGATGATTTTGCAAATTCATGTATATTTTAAATCAAATGCGAAAAAAGCATGCGTTTTATCAGTCGTTTGATAGAGAATCACGTCCACTTTATATTTTGTACTCGAGGAAGGAGTAAAACTAGGCTTTACAAAATTTCTAATAATGAGAAGTTTTGAGACCGTGAAATGTCCATTCATGCAGCATCGTACCTATCCGTTTACCACTGCCCCCCCCCCATGAAAAGTACGACATGATCCACATCAATTGCAAAATTTCATGGACTCTACATAGTATCTTTTTAGAAAAATAGAAGAATATCTGATTTTCTTTACGCGGAACGCATGCATTTTGTTAACTGAAATCACTAAGCATTAATGAAATGACTGATCAGGCTCCAAATTATTCAGAAATTAGGGAACTTTTTAAAACCTAATTATACTCTTTCTACTAGTACAAAATATGAAAATGACGTGGTTCGCTATCAAACGAGTGAAAGAAAGAATATTTTTGCTCATGTTTTTTATATAATATATTTGGATTTATAAGAACATCGAAAATCAGTGTGAAAAATGCATGCTAATTAAGTAGTCATTTCTTACCGACTACGGTTTCTACAGGAGACCGAAAGGAAGTGCATTCAAAAGCCGACATCCTTCCGAGTTCGAAATACTACAGGATTATGTCGCGGGATAATCACCTAAGTAATCCTTCCTAACCGAAAACGCATTTCAGAATTTCGACCAACATTTCATGAGATCGGTCACTCACTGTAGCAACAGACTTCTCACGCTCGGTCCGTAAGCTGATATGAGTACCTGAGCTGAAATCCATCAGCTAATGCAGAAAAACCGCGGAATATTCACAACCCGCCAGCAGGCAGTCAGCAGTATACACTCGTGTATTTATTTACCCTACTGGCTACAAGGTGTTAGCTACAAGCCCAGGCATGCGTGTTTCGCCGATTTTGTGCCGCCCTGTTTAATTTCCGTAACGCGATCGGCGAGCGCCCCCCTCTACCATTGTATATTCTCGACAGCAACCGATGGGGCAACGAGCCCATGGCTCAGTGGTTAGAGATGTTTGAAGTTCTAACCAACAGGTCGCGAAATCGAGCCCCACAATTCAAGATTGGGTATGACTGGTTGACGACGGCTAATGAGCCGGAAGTGGTCATTCCAGTCTCCCTCGTGTTTGTCGGTAATAACATCCTACCTCTGGTAGTTGCATCCGTTCTGCTATTTTGGTCGGTAATAACATCCTGCATATATTACGCTCCGCTGCGCGGCTGCTGGTTGGACTCAAGAGAGAGCCCGTAAGGCACAGTGGAACGAGTGAGTTCCGTAACACGATCGGTGAGCCTCCCCCCTCCCCCACGACGAAGGAATTGTTGGTCTCGCCCTAAATAGCGTAGAACGGCAATCTACGCCAAGCGAAGTACCGGAAAAAGACAAGGGACAGAGATGGCCGGTTTGTTGGTCGTTGTGAGTCGGCCATACCCAACCGGCCAGGCTAGCAGGGCCTGGGGTTCGAACTCGGCTAACGTGGAGCGTGAGCGTTAAGCTGCAAGGCAAACTTACAAGACATAGACGATGCACGATCACGACAGTGTTTCGAAATCTCCACACCGAAATGAAGCGTTCTTTCTCGACCACAATACTCCAGCCATCGCAGACCACAAGATCCGGCTTTCCTGTCCTAGAGGATGAGCACAGCGGCGACTGGTCTGCACCCTCCGCGCCATCTCCGCCCACATCCGCGGCGTGGGTGCGGTGCCTGTCTACGCGTGCCACACACGAGCCCCGGGGGGAGACGCGGGCCACACATTGGCGGGGGATGGAGCAGTGGTTCATAATAGTCAAACGACCGATCGAAGGTCGTTCCTCATCGGTTTGGTGTTGTGGTGGATGCGCTTCGAACCGCTTCCCGCCTGACTAGTGATTTCTCGTCAGACCAGGCATATTTCATGAGTCAAATCACCAACTGGCAGCTAACTTCACATGAACCAGGCCTCATCTAGCGGGGTCTCACATCACATCAACGAGCGTAATATAAAGGCCACATTAAGGAGTTATTACAGGCCGACCTTCAGTTCTGAGCGCAAACGAGTTGCCCTGGTAGTTGACAATTGACATTAACATCCGGTGAAACAGTTACCTAGCCATTTAGGTTCAGTGGAGCAATACTTCCATTGTCTGTTTTGTCACCGCTTGTCAATGATACTTGGCGCGGTGGTTCCTTCGGGCGCAGACTACGACCGGTATCCCTTTCTTGCGTACTAGTGAGTTTTTTAAGACATATGTAGGCTTACGCACATTTTTGATTTTTCACTCTAAACTTTCTCCTACACCTGAACATTTCTGTCCTGTTGTTTAATTTAACGAAAAAATACACCCTCGGTTTCGACTTGTGAAAAAGCGTGACTTTTGTGTCCGTCTGCTGCTAGGAGTCATTGTTTCGTTGATTTCACTCATTTACGTCAATCGCTTTTAGTCAATCGACAAGAAACTTTTATATCTTTTGGCCATATTTAACTGGACGTAATTTCGCCTGAGCGACAAGCCTCATTCACTGACTTCGTCTCGGATTTTACCCAGAACATTCACCCTACGGCTAACGATTGTGGAGAAGGCTTTATTTATCGTGAGTCTGTACAATTATTTACCCTTTGTCGTTTTTCTTATAATCTTCTTTGCTAGCGTTATTTTTCTCGTAAGAAACGCAGCAGCTCCCACTAAGAGTTAGGTATTTATTATTATTTGTAGTTTAATTGCCGTTTACACTACACATACGAGTAACTTACAAGTAAAACAGCAGTCTTATGAGTGCCTATGGAACTTCGCTTGAGTCTAAACGCACATTTCGTCCTATCGAAGGACCGCTCACTCTGTGGTGGTAGAAGTAGAGACAGCGGTAGTGGTGGTGGTGGTGG